CATGATTATTCTAAAACAGGCTGTGTGATTTTGGACAGGTTACATAACATCTCTGTGCCTCATTTCCTTAAATGTAAAATAGAGCTAATAGCAAGTAGCTGCCTCTCAGGGTTGTGAGTAAGAAATGAAAGATGGTGTTAAAATTCTTAGCCTGGAGCCAGGCGCAGGGTAAGGGCTTCTGATATTATTGTCATGGTTATTATTGTTACTACAGTGGCCCAGGACAGAATGTAACAGCCAAGCGGGCAGCCCTGGCTCAGCCCATTCCAGTCTACCATCAGATAGTGGGAAGCTCCCCACATCCTTGTGTAGTGTCAGAGGAGCAGGTTCCCCTGGGACAAATGATTTGGATAGGGCGGGGTGGGGTGGGGAGGTCAGAGGGTTCATTATTTTCAAGTGGTGTCAGATCCTTTTCTCTAAGGGAAGAGTTGGGTTGAGAGTCAATGTCGACGTTTAGTTTACCTGAATAATCTGGAAAGGAATGAGGCCACCAAAACAATCCATATTGAATCTGATGGGGCTTGGGGAGCTTACATGAATTATTCGCCTGTGTTAAGAGATGTCCATGGAGTTTGGCTTGGCTCTACAGGGTCCCTTTATCCTGGTAATTCAGGCAACACTTTCCCTCCTCTTTGTCTGGAATTTTCCCTATACTGATTCCTCCCCCTTCCACTGGAGATGGGATCAGGCTGGACCTGGGATAGACAGGCAACGAGTAGAAATGTTGGGGTCAGAATTCAGTGAAGACGCGGTTCTAAAGTCAGGCATTTCTTCTGCAGAGCAGACTCCAGGGATCAGCTGCTTCCAGCTCCAGGCAAGATGATGCTGGCCCAGCTAACTGAGATGAGAGCACCTCACAGTGTGTTCTTTGCCCTGAATCAGGCCCCAGAGGCAGAATTTAGCAAAATAGTTAAAGCCCTGGATGGCAAATGGCAGGGTTCCTTCTTCAGCATCCTCCACCCCACTGTCCCTGAGTCATCCCCCATTAGGGTTCTGGAAATCTCCAAAACTCCTCTTCTAAGGGGAGAGAGTCCAGCCCAAGCCATCCCCCTCTACATCACACAATCACTTATATCCTATTTGCTCTGTGGAGACTCATTCAACCAACACAGGCAGCTGGTGCCCAGTGCCTCAGGCCTGCACAGGTCAGGTCTGGGCAAACACAATCCCCAAATTGAGACCCCTGTCCTCAAGGATCTCTTAGTCTTGCACGGAGGGTTGAACCTGCAAATCCAAAATACAGCCCATTGCTTGAACATGGAGGCCAGAGGATTTGGGCTCCCGGAGTCTGGAACATGCCAGCTGCGTACAAGGTGAGGTTGGCCGGGCAAAAACTGAGGGTTGGGAAAGGGTTTGGGCAGGTAGTTGTGCTGGTTTTGAAGATGACCTAGGAGGAAATGGAGGTGACTTCTGGACCCAAAACAACAAAACGGAGGGTGGCTCCAAGTGCTCCCTGGCCCCCGGCTGCTCAGCCCATCCAGTGAGTTTGGCCCAGAGAGGTGGACCAACTGGCCAAAGCAGCAAAGCATCAGGAAAAGGTGGCAGCAAGTATAGGGCAGGCGGGAAGAGGGGGTTTGGCAAAGGTGGTAAAGAGCCAATACGGCAAAACCTGTCTGCTTTCACGCAGCCAAGCTCTCCTTGCCTCTGTCCCAGGGCAAATATGGGAATGTCTCTCCACAAAGACTAAAGTTCCCAGGAAACAGGACTCCAATGAGGAATTCTATGCTCCTACCTCTGCTCCAGGGAGCTCTGCTGCCATAGTGCCTAAGGCATTTGACTGCTAACCAGAAGGCTGGAAGTTCAAACCCACCAGCCACTCCTCAGAAGGAAGACTGGGCAATCTACATCCATAGAGATACCACCACGGAAACCAACCAAGGAGGGGTCGCTATGCGGCAGGCTGTTTTATTATTATTATTATTATTATTATTATTATTATTATTCTACTCCCAGGATCCACATCCCTCTCCTTCCTGGCAGCCTTTCTGTAACCCTGACCTCAAAGCTCTTGAGGGCTAAGGGTATGGACCATAACAGGAGGTTGGCTTGTCCTTAAGGGCAATACCAGGTTCAGACAAGAAGAATGGGGGGGTATGGGAAAGGTTTCTTTTTCTCTCTCTGAGGGTAAGGGTCCAAGTTCCCTAAACTGGAGGGACCTACCTCAGTCGTTAGCCCAGGGGGTTGTAGCTTGCCAGAGGTACAGGGTTGGGGGATTTGGGGTTATGACTGGAAAGGGCAGCCAGCTACAAGTTGAGGTGGGAATCTTGAGGGCAGGAAGTTAGAAAGAAAGGGCAAAGCTTCCAAGCTGTAGAGTCCAGCTCTATGGTGCTCCTCCCTGTAGTCCCTCCCTCTCCACCAGCTCTGGACCCTGATTTCATCCCAGGGCCCCAGGGCCTGGAGAACGCATGAGAGACAGAGCTGCTGCGCGGAAAGGTCTGTAGCTCTGAGGAAACTGAGACCCCCCTATTCACCATTCCTGCTTCCTGAGCACCTGCCCCCATCCCCCAGCAAGCGCAGGGCAAAGAGAGGAAGAAGGGAGCTCTCTCAACACTCTCAAGCAGGCCTGGGACCAGCACTGGGCCCCAAAACAAGAATCCTTTCTCTCCTACATGTCCCTTTGACTCCAGAACTGCCTGCCATGACTCTAAACAAATAACTAAAGGCAAACATAAAGAAAGAAGCCTCCTACCCTGGAGGGAGAGGGGAGGACCTGCCACCGTCCTACAGCCCAACTCAGCTTGCCTCTCTCCTGGGGCAGGTGTGGAGGACAGGAAGGCCCAGGAGGCCTATTTTCCATCCCAACCTCCAAGCCAGGCCCACAACCTTCCTCACTGGCAGCTTTGGGTCCTTCTCCCGTCCAAGCGGGACTGCGGAGTGCTCTCCCTGCCCGTGAGTTTACAAACAAAGCCAGGGAAAGGGCAAGGCTGTCTGGGCTGGTGGCTGGGGAACTAACTGTGCATATTTTTTTGGGGGAAGGGAGTGGCTCTTCCTACCTTGGTTCCAGCCCCCTCCTCTCCCCTCTGTTCTCCAAGGGCAGAAATGAGAAATTAGGCGAGCAGGGCCAGAGGGCCCACAAAAACTGGACTGGGGAGCAAGAGAGAAGAGAGCCTTGGGGCACAGCCCCGCTGGGGTGCCTCAGGGAAATGGAAGACACAGGTAAGGGTTCAAAGAAGCCTAAACACCCGCAGGTTCGCTTACGTTTACACAACGATACACATGGAGAACCGCAAACAAATACACAGAAAAACACAAACACCTTCAAATACCCATGCACACAAAATGCACGCCCGGTATACACAGAGTCCGGGTGGTGGAGTCCCCAGACCTCCACCCTGACTCCAGCGGGCCTCCCTCCGGGTTCCTGAGAGCGAAGTTCCAGCGGTGCCCCGGCCCCTCCAGGCCCCCGCCCCGCATCCGGAACAGCTGGAGTCGGCCGGGCTCTGCACTCCAGCCCGGAGCTGGGCTGGGCGGGGCCGGCAGCGGGGCCCCGGCCGGGGCCGGGTAGAGCGCAGCGGGGAGGCCCGGAGCGGCCTCGGGAGCCCCAGTACCCGGCCCGGCTGCCCGTCGGAAGCCTGTTATCCGGCGAGCGGTGGCCCCAGCCCGCCTGAGAGTCGCGGCAGGAGGAAAGCGTGTGCGCGATTGCCAGAGGAGGTAGGGCGGCCGCTTCGGGCTCCGGCCGGGAGGACAGGCGCCCAGAGCCACCAGCAACTTCCCCCTCCACCTCTTGGCCGAAGGAAGGCTGAGTCCTTCGACCGGCCTCCTCTCCCAGCCCTGGAGTCTCCCCCTACTTGGTCCCGGGTCAACCCACTCAAAGCTACGGAGCCCCGCTCGGACCTCCCGCGGGCCACTGGGGTGGGGGAAGGGTCCAGAGTCCCTCTCCCCAGGCTTCGGGTGGGGGGGGACCCAGGGCCCGGGAAGAGGGCCAGAGGGTCCGAGGACAGGGCGGCTGGATCCTTGGTCTCAGCTCCGCAAAGTCCAGGGCTGCGCAGAAGCGGGGCCCACCGCAGCTCCTGGTCTTACCTGACCCGCGCGGCGATCGCTTCCCTCCCGGGCTGGGGCTCCCGCTGCCCTTCTGGGGCTCCAAATCCCGGGCCGGAGAGCCCAAGAGCTCCAGGGCCGATGCTGCCGTCTCTGTCCGGCCGGCGGGAGGCGGGTGCGCCGGGAGCGCGGCTGGCAGTTTGGGGTGGGGGCGGCGGCTTTGCGGTCGCCCGAGGTTCGGGTGCAATAAAGGCGCCGCTAATGTAATTTACAAACAGCTCGGGCCGAGCGCGGCGCGGCGCGGGGACTGACAGGCGCATTAGGCAGGCTAATTCCAACCGGCTCCTCCTACCCCAGGCCCGCTAATTAATGAGCTTCCCAACTTAGAGCCGCCTGCATTGGACAGACAGAGAGTGAAAGAGAGGGCGAGGGAGAGGGAGAGAAGGAGAGAGACGGGGGGAGCGGTGGAGAGAGGGAGGGAGGGAGGGAGGGAGAGAACAGGAGAAGGAGAGAGAAAGAAGAGAGGAGAAAGACGGGGAGAAAGGAGCGAGAAAGAGCGAGAAGTGCCTGCCGCTGCAGATAATTGATTACTCCTCGACCAAGGCTAACTTGTTAGCAGTAGTCAATTGCCCCGTCTCTCCGCCTCCCCTCGCAGTCCGGGATCGGCGCCCTTGCCTCGGCTCTTCCAACTGCCGCCGCCAGGACCAGGGGCCAGGAGCCGCCGCGGAGCCACCTGACACCTTTAAATAGCACCGCGGCTGGCGAAACTGGAGCCCCGAGC